TGGGACACAGGCCAGAGGCACAGAGGTGGTGAGAGGATTCACCAGAGACAGAGCAGGGAGCAGAACAGGCAGATCGAAGTACACTGCTGAGGGGAGCAGCGGGCAGGTCAGGAGAGGTCTGCCGTGCCATGTGGTCACCTCCCAGGCAGGGATCGTATTCATGCTGAAGTGTCTTTAGCTTCTACGTGCTGGTGCTGTGCTTTTAACCCATTGGGCCACCAGGAAGGGCCTGAGAGTGTATTATTTTTACTAGTTTCTTTCAGCATAATTATTTTGACATCTATGTTGTAGTCTGTAAGGGGAGTTCATTCCTTCTTATTTGAGCAGCATTTCATTGTATGGAAATTACCATAATTTGCTTATACATTCACGAGTTGGATTATCTGCAGCTTGGGCTATTACAAAGGAGATTTTAGGCTTTTATAAAAAAGATTTATATACAGATCTTTTCATACACATATTCTTTCATTCTCCTGAGTAAAATACAAAGGATTGGAGTGACTGGCTTTTAAGTCAAGTCTATGTTTGACTTTGTAAGAAGCTGCCAAACTGCCTTCTAAGGTGTTTATACTCAGAGCTGCAGTTTCTCTACTTCCTTGTCAACACTTGGCTGGCAGAGTCATTCTTTCAAATTTCAGCCTTCCTAGTTGTGTGTGTAGTACTATTCTTAGTTTTGATTTGAACTTACTTAGTGTCTAGCTATGGTGAACATTTTTTCATGTGCTATTTGCCATTTGTATATCTTTGTTAAATATCTATCTCCTACTGTGACATTTTTTCAAGTTTTCCTGTCAGTTTTGAGAATTTATCAGATACATATTTTGGAATTGTTTTATCTAGGTCTGTGTCTTTTTTCATTTGCTTACCAGTTCTTTCAAAGCAAAGTTTTTAAATTTAATGAAATTTATCCATTCATTTCTGCTTGTGCTTCTGGTATTATTTCTGAGGCTTTTTTTTGCCTAGTTGAACATTACAAAAAATTCCTGCTTTTTTTTTTTTTTTTAACAAGCTTTATGGCTTTAAGTTTTACATTCATCTCTATCATCATGGATTTACTTTTTGGTGATAGGTATGCAGTGAAGTTCACCTTTGTATAAGCATTAGTTGTTTGTTACTTTGTGTAATCATGCCAGAAACTACCGTATAAAAAGTCACTTTTCCAAAGTGTTCCAGGTTAGCCCACTAGGACTCATTTTCTTTATGGCATACAAGTTAATGTAAAAATGTAAGAATGTCCAGCTTTAAGACTTTTTTTTTTTTTTTTTT